ATCTTGAGATCCTGAGTCTGGAAAACTGGTTCAGTTAGACACTATTGAAGTAAGAATTTAGTGACCATATTAGGGAGCTTGCTTTCAATATTCAAGGCTTTCCATGATATAACCTCAATTTATAATTATTATTTCATCTCTCATTATTTTTATCTTGGACTACAATGAGCCATGTATACAGACCTTTCTGTTCTCTTAAGAATTTTCTGAATTATCACAACACCTTCCTTTTGTTAATTCCCCCATGCTGGCTGGAGTTACAGTCAATGCACACTCTCTAGAAGAGTTTTATTTCCTCATGGTCGAAGATTGTATGTTACTCTATTTGGTTTTCTATGAGTATCTCAGTTTAGAATTTGAGACTAAAAGTTGAGATGGTGAAGACAATTTTAAAAGATTTCAAGTACTTGCTTGTAAATCAGAAATTATCCAATAGCAGCAATCTATTCCATTTCACATGGATCTAACCCCACACATGGTGTTAGTGTGTCATTTTGCTTTTGACATGGGACATCTTATAAAGATACCTCCACCCAGTGCTGAGGCAGCAATATTCCTTACAGGGGCTACATTACAATTTCTTCAACCCTCAGCCAGTGATCCAGTGCAAGTGTGAAAGCTTTCTCAAACTTCCCTTCTGGGAGTTTCCTGCTGTACTTAAGTATGTATTAAGTACTTAATAGGCACTAAATAAACATCTGCTGAATGAACACATGAAAAAAGTGAAGGCCAAAAGAATAAGTATATTGGGTTTGAGCATGGAGGTAAATTGTGTGCCCTTTTGAACTACTCAGGCCTGCAGATTTTCACTGAGTATCGATGCCATGGCAGACAGTAGCATTGTAGCACTGGTTGCCTTTGTTCCTGAGGAACTTTTTTTCATTCCTAGTAGTCAGACTTCCAAGATTCTTTCAGTGGGCTTGAGGGGGAAATTCAGGAACTCTGACACTTTGCATACAACCATATGCATTTGTTGGGAGAGAGAGAGAAGATATGAAATTGTAAGATTGCCTAAATTAGGGTATATGTATATTTTTTAGGGTTAGGGAAAATAGAATCTATAACTTTTACACAGTTATCAAAGGGTAATGGCTAAAAGACAACCAAGAACCTCCAGAGTAGCTCATCCTGCAATTTCATGACTCTGAGCAACTGAAACCTGCCAACCCCAAGGGAACAGCAAGGGCTTGAGTAGAGTATTGGCTAGCAAAGCCAAGATCCCACATGCAGGAGAGTGAGTGTTTACAGGAGCATGTGCACACACCTGTTCTCCCCAGGAGGCTTTTTAGGAAAATACGTACTGAGTGCCAAACATTTACTGATCACAGTGGGATTAGAAAGAAGACTGAGACATCACTCACTCCTCAGAAGGGAGCTACAATTATAGGAAATATCCCAATTCCTCTCGCATATTTAAATCTGATTTATGGCTAAGCAAGAGATTTTGAAGCACTCTGCGATGTGTTGCCAAATGAATTGTATAAACCCAGTTGCAATGACAAGCATTCTTCTGACCTAGTGATTGTAGACCAGAGGCAGAAGGCTTTACTAGTGAGCAAAAGTGTGACTCTGCTTGAGACACACATGGGTACTCTTTTGTCCCAATCTCACCCAAACTCTTAACATCTTTAAAACCATTTCCTTCTTTTGTTTGTATGTGTAATGATATACAGTGAATGAATATAAAATAAATAAAAACTTTGCCTTTTTAAAATATTTTCTTTCTTTCCATTCCCCTTTGGCTTCTGTATCAGCTTTCTTTTCGGACTTTCTCCCTGCTTTCCTGACTCTTGTGTTGGCTCTTCTTCCATTCTCGTATGTTCAATATCAGTGCTCATTAGGGCACAGTCCTCGGCCCCTTCTTTTTTCTCTCTAAGCTCCCTTCCCCATTAATCTCACCAGTTCCTAAACTATCACAAAACGTCAAGGCTTATCAACCCCCAATTCTCCATTTCCAGCCTAGACCTCTCTTGGCTTTATGTCATATACATAGGTCCATCTGATTGTTATCGGAACTTCAGACCTGGTATATCATCCAGCTATAAATTTCTCCTCATCTCTTCCATCCCATTTCAACAAGTAGGACAATCATTTGTTTGAAAGTCGAACATGGAACCTGTCCTTAATTTCTCCCCCTTTTTCTTACATTCACTTTACCACTGAGTTCCATTTATTTTCATTAAAAATAGCCAACTTTTTTCATTTCTTGGTGCCTCTACTGTCCCATTTTAGTCTGAACCACTCTATTCTCTGGTCTGTGCTATAGCTCTCGGCCCTGGATTTCTCAGTAGTTCCTACTTCCTGTTGTCCCCTCCCATCAAATCAGTTCTCTACCTAGTTGCCAAGGTGATCTTTTTTATTGTAAGCAAAAATAAGATCATTTTTCAAACTTCAGAATGTCCATAGGGTCCCCCATTATATGTACCAAAGCTTGTTATCTTGGGTACAGAGCACTACATGGTGTTACCCCTGACCACCTCTCCAGTCCCCCAGGGGTCACACAGACCATCTTTCTGTTCATTCACTGTGCTCAGCACCCCTGGCTTCACAACCAGAGTTCATGCTATTCTTGCACACAGTCTGATGTATCTGGCTATTTCACAAAGTTCTACTCTCCTCTACTTAAATAACACCTCAGTGGGCGCTTCCCTAACCATTCTACTTGGCTGTGTATATACCCACGTGTCCCCATCACACTCTTCTCTCTGTTCATTTCTTCTATGCAGTGTAGAGCCTTCAAAATATGCATGGAAAATGCAATTAAAGTACAGGTTTATTTGGGTGTAAAAAAATTTGAAATCTCTGCATAGTTTTATCATAATCAAATTTTTTTTTTTTAGTTTTTTTTTTTTTTGGAGAGATTTTCACTGTAGGGCGCGTGCGCTCGCCAAACAGACAGAGAGAGACATAGAGACAGAAAGCGAGAAATCACCCCCTAGGGGGGATGGTCATGCCGCAATCCCTTCTCCTCCATTCTCCTCTCAGGATCTTGGGCACATACGCACACGCGCCTGGCGTGAGTTTTAAGCCACCGGGTCCGGGACACGAACCGCGGTCGACTACGTGGGAGTCCAGCAATATAGCCATTACGCTAACTGCTGGTTCCCTCATAATCAAATTTTTCATGAACATGAACAAGAAGACTAATCTAGCCCTAGTGGGCAGTGCTAGCTCATAATTTCCTTATACTGTGTCATAATTCTTGGGTCACTTCTCCCTTTCATCCAGGCTGGTCTCTCCATTAGGACAGTATGATACCTAAATCACTATGTGAGACCTCAACTCAGAACACAGTGCTTGGCACATCAGAGGCACTCAACTAACATGTTTTGAATGCATTCATGAATGATTGAATAAAGCGTGGGGAGCAATTATGTTGTCACAGTTTAGATCTGCCTTCTTTGAACTCTCCTTTGTTCCTGGAATATCAGGATGGAGAACTAATGAGGGAAGGAAGCGCACAACAGCTATGTGGCTGAAGTTCCTCCTACAGCAGCTGGGTGGTAGATCTGGTCTTATCTCTTCTTGACTTCCACACAGGGGAAGTCTGTTAGAGGGTTAACAACAGATACATTGCCTGACTCTGGTAGTGACATATGCTGTAGTGATTAATATATACAGCAAGCATTTTCTTGCCAAAGCTTAGTTGCTTCAATCTAAATATTCTTTCAGAGAGGTCTTCTTAATTGTAATGACATGGTATAAGAAGAATGAATGTCAATAATCGCTTCATATAATAACAGTGTTAGCATTCATGCACATAAATTATAAGTAAGTTTACCTGTTTAAAAGCAGAAAAGTGCTCAGTTTTGCAATTTAAAACTTTTGAATATGCCACGTTTAAAAATTAAATCATTATCACCAGGAGAAGTTAGTAATCATCACTAAAGTGCATGTTCTTGAATAGTTGATGAATAACTCATAGTGAAATTCTATAAGAAGTCATCTCAAAATGCAGAATTTAAAGGTACCTATGTTATTTTTATTTTCAAACAGTCAAGACTCATCCAGCAAGTGTTGAATCCCTGTTATGGGGCAAATATCATGGAAACTAGAGCTACCATTTGATATGGCAGCCAACACTCAAACATGACAATTTCAATTTTAGTTTAATTAAAATTAAAAGGGGACTTTCAAAGTTTGTGGAATATGAAATTAAAGTATAAATTTATTTTGGTACCAAATATTTTTTTAAATCCATGTATGCTTTTTTCATAATAAGCATTTTCCATGAACTTGTTGACAATTTCCTCCTCATAAAATAAAATGTTCAGTTCCTGCATTTCCCTAGCCAGAATCTAAGCTCTCAGTAGCCACATGTGGCTGGTGGCTACCATTCTAAACTAGTACAGAATCTAACATTTCCATTATGACTGAAAGCTCTGTTGGCCAGCTTTACCCTAAAGGGGGAAAAAAAAAAAAAGCGAGAGAAAGAGAGAATCTGACCCATTATGAGCACTCCATTCATATCATCAGCAACTACTGGCATGTCTGCAGGATTTATTTTTGGAGCAGTTGCCTTTGCCCTTTGATGAAAATACTTCTAAGTATCCTTGTTCCCAATAGACAATAATCTAATTCAGTGCTAAATCAAATTATATGCACTAGATTAAAGATGCGACCTTACCCTTGACAGAGCCTTGTCTGTTTGAGCTAGTTGTATATTTATTTTGTTATTTTATTTTAAATCAATTGTAATTGTGGTCTTACAAAATGATATTTTGAAAGCAAACTTGAAGGTATTAACTTAAACCTGAACTCATCCTTTATATTCTAATCTACTGACTTAAAGTTCCTCTGTCTATAAAGCAATAACTCATAAGGGTTTTGGCTGAGTTCCTGCACCCCTCCACTGGCTGCAGGATTTGAAGAGCCTAAGTGAGGAGGAGAGCTTATCACAAAGTGTCTGACAGTGCATACATCAGGAGGGTTTATTGGATAAAGATGCAATCTAGGTCCATCTGCTCCAGATATTTTATCACATTCTTATTCTTTTGCAGATCACCTACAAAGCAGTCAGTTCCTTTGACCCAGAAATTGACTTATCCAATCAAAGTGGAAGAGTTTCAAAACTGGGAAATGAAACCCATTTTCTGTTTTTTGGACTGTATCCGGGGACTACATACTCCTTTACCATCCGGGCGAGCACGGCTAAGGGTTTTGGGCCTCCAGCAACAAACCAGTTCACCACCAAAATATCAGGTATTGCACATTCATGAGTATGTCTTTTTTTGAAAAGACACTTCTGTACATTTTTATTCCCATTGTTAAATACACAAAGCTTGTCCAAACTAGCATATTTTATTCAAATTGATACTTTGGATGCCTAAAAATAAGACTCATGAAGCTAAGTAAAATAGTGCAAATCTTATCATTTGGGAGCTTCAGGTCCTAAAACAGTAGCCACTGTTAGAGCAGCTGGTCTTGGAGAGGTAACTGTGGTTCTGTTAAGGAACTCTTATCCCTTCACAATCCCAAATTACCAAAGCAAATGTTGGAAAAGTCTTTGCAGTGGGCCACGAACGAGTGAAAGCCCAGCAGAAAGGCAGTGTCATGTAGATCCCACTTCTGGAAGGATCAGCCTTCCTTGGTAGCTTCACCATTAGCACCTTCCCATCCTAAGAGAGAGGCAACATGCAGGATGGCACTAGGCACTTAAAGTTTGCAGCTTTTTGCTTTTGGAAACACAATTGTGCCATCCAACAAAAGACGTGATTTGAGAAATATTTCTGGGCATGTTCAACTGTGCAGAAAATGTCTTTGTACTTCACACTAGAGGAAATGAAGTTGCCATCTGGTATGGGATATGTAACAGCTATAAACAAAATTCCATGAACATTTTTTTTTTTTTCTTTTTGGGTATGAGTGGGGAATTATTTTAGGTTTGACTTTGATTATTTGGGTTAGGCATAGGTAGGGTAGAAGTAACTTTTTATCAGCCAGGTTAGCTCAATCATATTTATTCTGTGTATACACACACACACACACACACACACACACACATTCCTACATTTTTCTTTTGTGTGTGTATGTGTGTGTTTTTTCTTTTGGAGAGGTTTTTGCTATAGGGCATGTGTGCTTGCCAGAAGACAGAGAGAGACAGAGATACAGAAAGCGAGAAATCACCCCCGAAGGGATGGCCATATTGCAATCCCTTCTCCTCCAATCTCCTCTTGGGCATGCACGGGCACTCACCTGGCATGAGTTTAAGTCACCAGGTCCAGAATTCAAACTGCAGTTGACTACATGGGAGTCCAGTGACATAGCCATTATGCCAACTGCTGATCCCCTTCATTCCTAGTTTTGAAAAAGCTTTTTTTGGGATTAAAGGAAAGAAATGTTTTAACAAGAGTATTATAAGTGTTATGCTAGGTTTTGAGGGAGGGAGGTTTGCAATTTTGTTTTTTTCTAATATTACATTTTTTGTTTGTTTTTTTAATTTAACAAGAAAGAGAAAAATTCTCTTGCCAGGGTCTCGACCATGTTGCCATTCTCCTGCCCCAACCTCCCAGCTAGCCAGGATTACAGGCATATGCTACCATTGCCAGTCTGTTTAGGTTGGTCCAGGAACTGAACCTAGGCCTACCACGTTGCTCCAGTATAGTGTAGCCATGTCCTCACTTGCTTACACCACCATGACTGGACCTAGAAGTTTGTTTATAAGCCATTATAATTTAAGGTGTCATTTTTTTTTATCTTTTTTTTTTTTTTTGAAGAGGTTTTTGCTATAGGGCTCGTGCACTTGCGAGAAAGACAGAGAGAGACAGAGAGATAGAAAGTGAGAAATCACCCCCTGGGGGGGATGGCCACGCCACAATCCCTTCTCCTCCATTCTCCTCCTGGGATCTTGGGCACAGACGCACACGCACCCTGCGTGAGTTTAAGCCACTGGGTCCGGGACTCGGACTGTGGTCGACTACGTGGGAGTCCAGTGACATAGCCATTACGCTAACTGCTGGCCCCAGTGTCATTTTTTATTATATGAGATTTTATTTATGTACACAAACTTGACTTGAAATTTAATGTATATTTGTTATTCAGTATAAAACATTAGGTGATAGGGACAGTACAGAGAGTTGCAAAAGAGAAGGAAGTCCTTGGGAGAAAAGAAAGTAATGGGAGTTGTACAAATAGGTGGGTAGAAACACAGGATTTGAAATCAGAAAATCTGGATTCTAGTTATAATTTTTCCATGGATTTCCTCTTTGATTTGATCAATGAATTTACTTACCCCTTTATTTAAATTAAGATGTTATTATCTAGGGCATTCATTTATCACAGGGATTTATGGAGAAAATATATGTCAATATGTAGACCTCCAAGTACACTTTAAAAATTTTCGTTGGTGAAAACCATATTTCAAAAATTATTATTTGAAAGAGGGTATTTTATTAAAAAAAATTAATTTACTTTTCCCATTTTTATAAGAGGAAAAGTTGGATCAATATTAGTTTGAACATTGTTAGCATAGCAAGTTCACATAATTCTATCCAAAAGCAAAGAAACTTGACATTTTAGTTAGCCTGTGCATGCTCATCAGGGTTAACTATTTGATTTTTATCCTTTTTAAGAAGTTGGGTTATGGGCCCTATTTTCTATTTCATGGTCCTAAGAGAGGGAACTGCTCTCATAGACAAAATGTGTTATGAATTGGAGTTAATTTTTAATGAAATTAGAATGAATTTTTAATGCTGGAAAAATTCAATCAATGGAACTGAGAAATAACTCATGTCTGTTACCTAAAAGCATGCATAAATGTGTGTGTGTGTGTGTATTTATATATATGTGTATGTGTCTATAAAAACTAAATAAATATATGTGTGTGTATATATATATAGACCATTTTAAAAACTATATTTGAAAAAAAAAAGTCTCTAGCTTCCTCATCAGGTACCTCCACCTGTAGATTGTAGAAAAATAGTGTACCTTCCCACATCACAGCTCCATCTAATGATTTTTCTTGTCCACAGAGAGAGCGTAATTACTGAAGCACTCTGTCATCTTATCGTAATAAGACTTAACAATCTAGAGAAAAAAGAATGCCAGGAAGCAGTCTTGGAAGTAGGACTCACATTGGAGAACTAACATTTGTCAAATTACATTTGTCTGACTCTCTCTCTCTCTATTATCTCTTTGAATTGCCATTATAATCATAGAGGGTAGTTACCCCCTATTTTGAAAGAAGTCGAAACTGAAGCTCCAGAGATAATTTGCCTAAGCTTTTACACTGGTTAAAACAAAACACAAGTCAAACTCACGCTGTTCTTATTTCAATTCCCATGTTTTCTACCCACATGCTTTCCTGTAAAGCCCACTTTTGTCACAGTTACCTCCAGCAAGTCTCCCTGGTTCGTCCTACCATTCCCGGATAGATCTTTGGTACATGGGATACCCTGACTTAAAGTAGATAGGAGAACTGTGAAGTTTGATTTTGTGATCCAAATGATTTTCTTGAATATGCATTTTAAGTTAACTTTTTATTGATGATATTCTTTGCACAGAGAAGTGCACCAATTATAAGAGCACATGCGATTCAATACGTTTCCACAAGCTGACTACTCCCATTTAGGCAGAATACAAATCAAGAAGCAGAGTATCACTAATACACCTCCCAGGCCCCCCTCTTCCTCTCTCCCAACTTTAACACAAGATGAAAGAGGTCAGTACACTGGTCTTAGCAACTGTCCCTGTTATTCTGTGTAGGCGATGTATTTAAAGTTCACTCAGGGTAGCTGTAATTTAAAAGTAAGTGGACTATGTTCTTAATGTTCTGCATAAAAGAAAGTGGAAAATAAACTAAGATAAACCAGACATAACAAGTCTCCCATCTTATGTCTTTTTCCCCAGCACCCTCTATGCCAGCGTATGAACTTGAGACACCTTTGAATCAAACTGACAATACAGTGACAGTCATGCTGAAACCTGCACACAGCAGAGGCGCACCTGTCAGGTACAAAGCAGAGGGGTGGGCAGACTCTAGAAAGAAGGAACCTAAGATCAAGTTAATTTCTTCAGTGTTTTCTAGGGATTTGCTGCAAACCTCAGCCAGTATGTGAACTTGTGTCTTTGTTAGATCTAATTAAAAGAACTGACTGAAGAAATTGTAAGGGCTTTGATGTTAGGTGATCAAGTGCTATTTAAAGCATTTTATTCTGAAGCAAGTAGGTTACACTTTTAAAAATAAGAAATAAAGCCCCAGTCTTTTGAGAAGGTGGCTATACTTATGAAAGGCAATCTGCCTGGGGGCAAATGACATTCCTGTCCTGAGCTCTGTTCTTTAAATGGGCTTTTGGGGTTTTGTTTGTTTGTGATTTTATGTCATTTACTTTTAGTAAATTGGATAATTTCTCAATTGAATATTAATATAAAATTTTTTAAAAAGAGGTGATTAGAAAGAACATTTTGAAGTCTTTATTTGAACAGATTTAAGTTTATTGCTAACATCTAGGCCCAATTTCTTATTCTATGATGATTTGTATAGCTAAGAAATGACAAAGTATAACTTTTACAGTGAATGAATAAAATAAATTTATTCTTCCTAAGAAGGAGCAAAGGAATGCCTGAATAACTCTTGAGTAGGAACTTGTCATAAGCTCATTAATCTACATAAATGAAATTTATACTTATTTCAGAGGGATTTAGATATTTTATCTTTGTGTTATGAAAGTAGATTCCCTTCAAAGTAATCTATTACTTTGAATAGTATACTCTCAATAAATGTTTATATTCACCATCAATGCTATATAGGGTGTGTTTCTGTGTTCCTTTTGTAGAATTTAATTTCATTAACCTTTTGAAACCAGGCTCTGTTTAATCATGTTTCATTGCAGTACCATGGGGCAATCAGACCTCTTTCTACTTGATAAAATATATACACGTCTCAGTTCACAAATTCAAAAGTAAAAACCAGATAGTATTAGTTGATAGTGAAGTCAGATAACATTAGGATCCAATCACAGACATTTTTATTTGAAAAAGCTACAAAAATTTATGAAACAATTTTTAGTTTTTTTCTGGTGAATTATGCAACATAGTAGCTCCGGTAAGGGATTTATGCCTGTTATTTATGGGTACAATGTATGAGAACAGAGCACTGTGAAGTACATGTAAAAGTCTAGTCCAAGTCTAAGATCCCGTTATTGCTGGAGGCACTACCCAGGCCCTGTGCGGTGATGTGTACTACACGGTGCTGAGCGACTGCACCAGTCCTATTAGCCCAAGACTCATATTAGCTGCTATCCGAGACACAAGTGTATCTGTGGCAGAGCATCAAAATGAAATTTATTAAATGACAGTTTATACTCTGACCATCAGCTTGGGAGTGTCATTGTTTTCTGGCCATTTTAGTTGCCTGGACTCAGCAATAACAAATCATTAAGATAAGACTCAGTCTTCTCCTGCAGAGCCTCACAACAAAATGCAAAGCTAGAAGTCACCCAGCTCCGAGGCTAGACTGAAGAAAGCTGACATTCTAACCATTTCTCAAATACAGCTAGTTATTTCCTTTTCTGCTTTATACTTACACATGTTCTATTCTAATTGCATCTTCCTTTCAAACTCTTTATAAAAAAAAAAAAAAGGTTATTTATTCTTTTCTTCCAAGGGGACAGGCACTCAGCAACCTCTACAGGGTTTTCATGGACAGTCTATCCATAGGCTCAGCCAACCCTGGGTTACAGGCTCATGTATGCCCAGCATATTTAGGGAGGTCGCTGGATATAACTCTGGAGCCCTCCCAAGTGGGATCAGTCTTCCAGAACATGTTATTTTACCTCTATGCTACAGTCAACACTCCTCTTTAAGCCCTTTTCACCAGACTTCCAGTTATGTTTTTGTAATCCTCTTTCCAAGTTCAGTTGGTTTTGTTTGTTTGCCGTAAGGCACATACACTTGCCACAGAGGAAGAGGAGAAAGTACCTCCTCACTATGGGGAATGCTCATGTCACAGTCCATTCTCCACCACTTCTTCCTCTTTCAATTTTTTGGGCATGCACACATACACACTCTCAGTGTGTTTCTCAGGCCACAAGGTCTACAATCAAATTGCATAGTAGGCCATTTAAGATTCAGATGCCTTCACCAGCAAGCCATGGAGCCAGCCCAATTTGGTCTTTTCAATCATAACAGGGTATATACATATGCAGGAGAGAAAGGGAGTGAAGCACCTTCCATAGGGCTTAGTCACACAGTGATCCCCTTCCTTTAGTCATCTGGGATCCTGGGCACACACCTGGAACATTTTCAGGCCAATCAGGTTAGGTACCAGTACTGTGGTAAAAAAGTGGTGTCCAGCTCTGCAATCTGGTTCACTACTGACTATGCCATAGGTGCTGGGCCCCAAGTCTAGTTTTGAATGATATCTACTTGGGCAAGCTACCTCAGCCCTGTCCCCCTACCTTATCCTATTAAAAAGTAAGGTGCATTCTAACCTGTGGTTCATTTTTTTTTCCCTGTCATATGCCTAACCAAGTTTCGTTGTTGTTTGCTTTTCCATATTTCTAGGTAGGATATTTTTTGGAGACTTTGGAACCTTAATAGTTAATTTTAGATGTCCAGAGTCTTTCTACTCCTATATATATGAAAATGCAGGTCTAAATGCTTGTCTGAGTCCAAAGTACTTACCTTTTACCACAGACCTTGTATTAGATCATCAGGCTCAGCTCTCTAAGTCTACTAAGATTTCAGTTTATGTTGTCACACCCTCCTTCACAGTTGATATAACACCCTTGTCTCCAGGTTCCACACTCTTTTGGTTTGATTAAATATCATCTTGTTATTTGCTAAATGTTCCTTGAATTTGCCAGGGTAACTTTGCATTCTGCCTCTATTATGCGTTCTTCTACGGTATTAGTTAACATCTTGAAATTAATAAATTTACTATCTATGTTCATTATTCAGATTCATAATACTGAACTCAAGATATCTAAGACACTATTTAGTACACATTACAGGAAAACCCACTAAAAATAGCACCTTTAGGCTCACCTTGTAACACAGTAGTTAAGTGTTGGGCATTGGGAACTGGATTCCACGTGGACAATAGCAGTTCAAGTCCCAGACCCAATGACTTAAAAAACATGCTGGCCATGTGTTTGTGCAAGCCCAAAATCCTGATAGAGGGAAGAACAGAGAGGAGGGGATTGTGGTGTGACTGTGTTCCTTGGGAGGTTCTTTCTCTCTTACTCACTCATTACCTGGCAAGTATATGGGCCCATTGGCAATTTAAAAAAGAAAGAAAGAAACAGGGAGACTAACATGGGTCGAAGCCTCTGAATTCTGGCAAAAGTAAATTGATTAATTGATTGATAGATATTCTATTTACTGGAAGGAAGCCTGTCTTAAATAGGTAAATTATTTTGCCACAAATTTGAGAGGTGAAATTATAATCACTTCATTTCTTAAGAGATTCTCTGGGGACTGGCAGGTGACATAGTGGTTAAGGCACTAGACTCCCCTGTGGTTGAACATAGTTTGAGTTCTGGACCCGACAGCTCGAAACT